ATCAGCTCCTTTCCGCAACCTAGGGACATACCTTTGTTTGTATGAGGCATTAAACAGGTGTGTAAGTTTAATTGTGGTTTTAAGATTTCTGCTGTTAATAAATCAAAGCCAGGAGCTTTCTTATGATTAATATTTGTTTCTATATTGTCCGCAATTTCCTTTTGGGAGATTGGTCTGATAATTGAGTTATCTCTCTCTCTAGAGGAGTCCAGTTTGGTAATTCTTCTGCTTCATTTGGTTGAAAGGTATTTTGTGAGTTCTCTGCGAATCTTTTCTTTTTGTATATTATTTCTAGCCCAGCTGCCATTTGTATTTCTGATCGGGCCGAGTGGGCCTTTTTAATCGCTTTGAGACTCCATAAAGAATAATGAATGGATTTATCGTTTGTCAACTCACAAGGTACTCATAAATAGATTCATTTTTGATTCGTTTTATCTTAGTTTTTATCTGCTGAAGTTCTGGTCTGATGCCATTTTCTCTTTAGTTTTCTTTTTGCAGAGATTAGGTCCCTTATTTCATTAGGATAGTTATTTCCTTTTTTTTGCTGAAAGGAAATGTGAATGGAATTTTAAAATTGAGTATTAAATATGAGAAACAAATTTTAAACGTTAGAAAATATTTAATGAATGTAATTTAACAAAAGAATAGAAAAATATATTTACTCTTACTTAATTTCCGTACCTCTGTATAGATATTTCAGTCACAATTATACTAGAGCACAAACACATTTCAGTTTAAAATATTAAGAGTATTACTGAGTGCAACTATGTTACAATATTTTTTTTTTTTTTGTAAAAACGTTGCAAACCATCAAAAAAACGCGCATAAGCTCAAAAATATCCAATTTTTCGTTATAAGGCATTTTTTATTTAGTACAACGTGAACGATGTAATGGTTAAAGTGCCCGTACATAACATGTCGTCGATGTTGATAAATTTTTTAGAACTTCAGTAGCCGTGGCGGCAATATCCTCTATACCTACCATAAAATTTTTACTCGAAGCTGCATCAGCCAGGATAACTGTAACATGTGCGGTATTTATTTATTCGACTATAAATTTTATTATACGTTTCTCCGAAATGTCAGTTAATACGCAACAATTTCCAGAGAGTTTTAGATGTAAAACGAAATGTCATCAGAGACTGTTCACTATAAAATCCTGAATAAAAATATTTAAAATAACAGCACTATTATTAGAAATATTTTTGTTTTATACCGGATACTGTCCAATGAAAATAAATATTATTTTGATATCAAATTAAGAACATTAGAATTGAAAAAATGACTTAAAATCCTGTGACTATTTTAATTTAATAACGCAAGTTTCTTTTTATATCTAATTACTTAAAAAATAATTTACAGCAAATATTGAAAAACCAATCGTGCAATGCTTAAATAACAAACCTGCAGACTTTAAAAGTTTCCGCGTGGGATCATTTTTGAAAAGAGCGGTGTCATAGTTGGCACTAATTTGAACCTTTCGGGTCGCTTTTGTTTTGAGCCAATATTTATCTTAGAAACCGCTTTAGCCCGTTTAACTCTGCTGAGGGTTGACTACACGTGATGAAACTCTTAAATACGTTGATTTGGTTTGCTGCTTTTCGCATCTGTGATGCCGACGTCGTCTTTCAACTCTCTCAAAAAAAAACCAGATCATAAAAAAAGATTTCTTCGGATTAAACGGTTAGAGAATTCGTCGAAGTTTTTTTTTTATTTTTCTTAGAAGGTTAAAAATTAATAAAAGGGTGGCCCCGATGGAGTTCGGGAATCTATTGGGAAAAAAGTTGCAGAGAAAGATTTTTAAAAGATATATTAATATTTTTCAATTACCGGGATTGGAGAAGAAAAATTGCTGTGAAACAATTTGTATTATTTTTTAAACAATGAATTGTTCACAATGTGGATACTGTGGATAAAGGAGTAAGGGATTAATTTACTTTTTAAAATTAAAGGTTTCGACTGGTAGACTATTTTATGCACAAAATTTCCTAAATGGAGTTTAAAACGGTTCTCCATATTTAGCCATTAACATTCAACAAGTTTATGCGAAATATGTTCTTTTCTTTTAATAGAAAATATGAATCTACAACAAGAGATACACAGACTAAGTCTTTTTGGCACGACTAACCCTCATAGAATGTGATCCAATATGATCATCCTAGGTCTCAACTTCGCTGACCTAAGATCTTACACGTAATTTGTTCTATTTTCTATGATAATTTATAGAAAATGTTTACAATATATTGAAGATATTGAAAGATTGGTTTTTAAAAGTAATACTAAACACTGCCCACAATTCTTTTCTATAGTCTATTTTTATGTATGAGAGAGTATTAAAATAATAAAGTGTTCGTAATCCATAGGCGTAGCACTTCTTTTAGTAGACAGTTAAAATATTTTTTGAAGTTTTTCCTCGAGTATACACTTATATTTTCACCTAATTAACCTGCTTATAACTTCTAAACAGCTGAAGGTAAAATAGTGCAATTTTTTCTAGAATGTTTTATTTTTCCACAAGGTATGTTAAGAACATTGTGTCAAACGGGTTATGTAGGTATAAGGGTTTAAACTTTGACTTTTAAACAACGTTACGTTCATAAATAATAATTTTAATATAAAAATTACTTCTTACCTACAAATCCAAATAACAATCGAATTTAGAAGATGAACTGTCGCAATCAATATTTACAATGAGTGGCTCGATCATTTCATCAGTAATATTGTCCAACTTCCACATTTTCTCTTCGTATGATTTACTGCCTTTTCCCAGTTTTCAGGCTTTACATTATTTACAGCTTCCAAAAACATCTGTTTAACATCACTCATTTTATAAGAATTATTTTTTCTTGAAACTTCTCCCTTTATCTGTGCCCATATCAGTTCAATCGGGTTTACTTCGCAATGATATGGTGGTGATCTAACCACCGTCATCCCACGATTTTTTGCAATTTCATCAATTTCATATTTTTTGAATTTCTCTTTATGAAGGGAACACAAATGATACAGTTCTTTTCTCACAGAACCGGGATGGAACTTAATATTCTTTGAATTTAGTCAATTCTGTAAATCTTTTTTAACCACTTGGTTGTGGGCATTTTTTCTATAAGTCTCGAGTGATAACTTGCATTATCCATTACTATTATACAGATATGAGGAAGAAGATCTATAATTTGTTCGAACCACTCTTTAAAGACATCAGAATTCATGTCCTCATGGTAGTCACCGGTACGAGTAGATTCAAAAGTCAATAAACCACCTTTAACAAAACCGTTTGAACTACCGATGTGTACTATTATTAGTCTGTGTCCCTTTCCTGATGGTGAATTTAAACCAATAGATAAATTATTTAAAAAAGCCTGTCTTCGACTTGTAACAGTTTCATCTTGCCAAAATTTATTTGGTTTATGTCCCTCGTTGATCCATGTTTCATATAAATAAAATATATTTCTTCTTTGGTTTCTCATTTCTTTTATAGTCCTTAGGTAATTTCTTCTTCATACTACAATATCGCTTCTTTCTATTAAAATAGACTTTCTGGAAAGCTTTTTCCATAGAAAACCTATTTCTTTTAAAAGTTTCCATAGTGTGCTTCGACTCATTTCAGGGTAATCCTTATCATCTCGAACCATGGCAAGAACTTTGTCTACTGTCGGAAATTCTTTTCTAAAGAAGAACGCATACACTTTCCTTCGAAGTCTTTCTTTCAAAAGATTTTCTAATTGAAATTTTGGTTTTCCTGGAGCTTTACGTGCTATTTGAGACTCGCCACATTTCTCTTCTTTAACAACTCTGTAAATCGTAGATTTTCCAACACCAAGCGTACTACTAACTAATTCCACTGTGTCATCAACACTTTTACATAAATGTTTGTCTGTAAATGTTTTAAAACAATTAAATATTAATGTTTTTTCATTAACTGTTAAAGGACCGATTTTTTGTCGTTTACGCGGCCCTTCCAAATTTTCCATGATCACACTAGAATTCTCACTGCACCTTGCAAGTTGCAACTAAACGACATTTAGTAAACTGTCAAGAATACACAACTTGGACCTCCTTACTATATGGAAAACCTATAATCGCATTTTCGGTGAAATTTGTTGGGAAGGTATTTATCTACTTATAATTCGATTACTGTAAGAAATTCTTGGAATTAAAATAAAACAAAATTGGCAAATAGATACTTATTGAAAATAATCTTAAGATACGGCTATGTAATCTTTAATACACAGGGCTTTTGGCCTGTCCAAACCTTTTTCTACTGTTCTGTACAGCTTATGTTTATAAAGAATAAATAAAAGACCCAAAACTTGTAATAGCTCAGGTACATTTATTACAATTTTAGGAAATATTTAGATTATTCTGTAAAAATATTTAAAATGACCGTACTAAGTTTTGCATTAGAAATGCTGTTTTATTACTCTCTCATACATAAAAATAGACTATAGTTGAAGGCTTAACCTAGCAAGTTGGACTGTACGGACCTCTATTAACTTTTTATTTATTTATTTTTTATGGACCATCTGATTGATTGGTTAGTTTTAGATCAAGGGTCTCCAAATTTTCCAACCTTAAGGCCATATTGATTACTCCAGTAAGTTTCAAGGGCGAAAACAGTTTTAATTTGTAGACCTCCGGTCTAGAGGTAGGGCATTTGTGTACAAAACAAAAATGTCTGGTTTCGAATCCCCCAAGTATTTGTTTTCATCTTTAGAGTTCGGGAATGGTCTTGATAATTCGTAGAGAGAGTTTTGAGATTTGTTTCCGAATTTTCAAAATATTACTACGTTACATTTGACATGTATCAATTTAAAAACCAATAATATATTTTTTTTTATCTTTTCATCTATTTGTTCTAATTAAATATCTATATATTATAGGTATATCCAATTAACAAGATTGTTCTGAACGCAGGTGTATATTATTCTTCACGAAATTATTTATCACATATACGTAATCCTTGTAAATTAATTATTTCTAAAGTGCTTTTGTCTTTGTTACAGCGCCTCCGTCCTCGGTGGAGATATTAGACCACACACACAATTCCAAAATAGAAATAAAGGAAAACCAAGAATTTAATTTGGAGTGCAGGGTTAGAAATGCGAAGCCCGCAGCTAAGATCGTCTGGTACAGAGGCAACGTGGAAATTAATATACGTAAGTACCGATATTTTAATATGGGTCCGCTTCTGTTATGCTGGTACGTGTTTTTTATTTTGTTTACCTTGCTCATGATAATGAAATAAATATAAGAGTTTATTATGAGTACACTTTTGCCTGCAAATATGTTTTTATCTGTCAAGAATTGTATAAATTGAATAAAATTCTACTTTATTTTAAAGAATATAAAAAAAATGTTTTATAAAGCCGTAAAATTACCTAAAATGAATCCATTGAACCAAACGCAGAATTTTAAATACTGACACTACCATAGTTTTTTTTTAATATTAGACTTTTGATTTCTAAAGATAAATTCCAATTATAGCAAATCGGGAAGACCAAACAATCGAAGTTCCCGGCAAAAACGGCGACAAACGTGTAACTCGTTACGACACCCACTCGAGGATAGCCTTAAAACCCACAGCAGAAGATGATTTTGCAGAATACACATGCGAGGCTAGGCATGAAGCGTTATCTCAAGATATCCCCATGAGAACTACCGTCCAACTCAGTGTACTCTATCCGCCAGGTAAGAAAGAGTCAAGTATTATTTCATCTAACAAAGTTCTTTTGACTTTTATTTTATTTTGAAATAGTTTTAACTTAAAATAAAACAAGAGCTGTAATATTCTTTATAGGTGCACGCAATATTTTATAACTTTGTATATATCTACTAACAAAAACAAATCGGTCACTGCTAGATATGTTTTATTTTTTGTCAAATTCAATTTATCAGCAAAATATTTTGAAATAAAACCCGATTGTGATCATAGAAATAATATAGAAGACCAATATAAACATAACATTTAAGCAGAAATTGAAACCTACTGTGCATAAAAACGCGTCTCTGCGCCTGACATCGCAAAATAGTGTGTCTAGAAGCTTGCGCAATATGCATGACTTGTCCCTGTAGTGTTGCCAAATATATTAAACATACCTAACAGAAAAGAATTTTAAATTAATTAATTTTTAAATTATATGATTTAAACAGTTTATATCTACGAAATATCGCCACAAAATAACTTATACACATTTAAATAATCAACTAATAATATTTATGTGTAATTACATTCCCAAATATATATACAAATACCGTATTAATGTCATTAATACCGTATTTTTAATGTTCAATAAGCGATTCACCTACAAATTCAATATTGACCTGGCAATAGCACTAAAATCCGGTGTTTCAAGGCTATATGACGCTGCCCTTACAGGACCGTTTGTAGTTTATTATTTATGCCGCGTTTGAGAATCCACATCGGATGCATCTGAGATGTAGTAAGTAGTAAATCTTTGATCACGTGATTCAGTATACGTAAATGTAATGGGACAGATGTGTCCGATGTGGATAAAAAACGCTCGAGATGTAAAAAATGCATCCGATGTCGATTCTCAAACGCGGCATTAATTACACGATGAAAGTGGCATTTTATTTTTAGTTTTGTGTAGTGTTTAGTCAAATCCTAGGTACAATAAAAGACATTTTTACATTGGCTAATGAAAATGTAATCAATGTATTAGGCAGCTGTTATATTTATTACAAGATTTATGTCTGCAAATCTAAACCTACCTAAGAATTATAATTATGTAAATAGAGATCTGTATATTTATATACAGGCTGCCCAGCGACGGGGAGACATTATCGATATCGGTTTTAAGGCATTTTAAAACATAAACCCGATCTCAAGAATCTTAGGAACTCTTCTGTCACTCGATATTTTAATCGGTACTTCCTCTTCGTTTTTTGGCTGGCACAACAATTATTTACATTTCTTCATTCCTTACGGCGTTCGAACCAGTAAGGTTTAAAGAAATTTAAAAAAAACCTACTTTAAAAATAAAGATGTTAATGATTTTTTTATGGATCCCATCTTCAGATCTTGACTTAATGTATATAAAACTGTTTCCTTTTCTAACAAAAAGAATCCTAGAAATCGGGCAACGTGGTAAAGAATTATCGCTCAACATACATAAAAAAATATTTCAACGAATTGAGAATATCCTACCATTTTGAAGTATGTTAAAAAAAAATTGTTAATAAAGTGAAAAGTAGGGCATGAACATATATTATAAAGTATATAAAATGATAGATAAATCCAGTTTAGAAGCTATTATAAATAAACTGTGGAAATATCGAGAATCTCGATTTTGAATCGGAAAAATATTCTACGCAATTTAGTATGAAAGCTGATCAAAATGAAACACATGAACGACAAACTGTTATTGACAACTTTCTTCAAACGTTTTCTATTTTTCCGAAAACTAACTAGATAGTTCAAAAATCATTTCCTTCGTTAAAACGCCTCTTGTTCCGAAAAAGGTACACGCCTGTCAACATTCATCGTTCATTAAAAAAGTGGTAGATACAAAACGCTTCGTATTGTAAGGCCAAAATATATTTAGAAATCGAAATATTCATATAAACAAAAAAATCATATGAGTGAGATAACTACCAAATTAATGATTTACAAGTTTATTCCTATTATTTATAAAATAGGTTTGCAATGTGCTGGTGTGGAATGTTATCATCGACTAAAAACTATAAATTGGTTTAGGCTATATAGAAAGTTTCTAGTAAGCAGCAACTAATTTTTATTATGGAACCGAAAGACCCTTTTAAAAGGGTTCAAAATTAAAATAAAATATGTACCAAGTAAATGTAGTAGTATTTTTTAATTTTTTAATTTATATTGAAAATGGTAACATGAAAGGTTTTCTGTCTAACGACTCATAGTCTCGGCTGACAAAATGTAAAAAAATATCGAACATAATATTCCTGGGCCCTATTTTGCACTCCCCAGATTAAATTTAGTTGTAGCAAATGATATTATCAAATAAGATGTCAAATCACAAGCAAAATCTCGTGACTACAGTACTAATGATTGCCTGTTTGGAAAAGTATCTTTATTTGTAAATATTTATATGCATAGTTATATTTAAATGCGCGAGTGTAATGTTAAGTATAAACAAAATCCGCCCATTATGTATATACGTTTAGTTACCGACCCTAGTAGATAGGCAATTTGTTATTGTTTTAAGTTTTACCGTAGGGAGAGAGAAAATCAATATTAGGATAAATGGTCCAGCTCCTTTCTGGTTACGTAGGTACCTAAAAAGTATTTTAGTTTTTGGTTAAGTAATTAATTATTGTAACAGTGATTTTCTTGTGATAGTTCCTAATTTAGATTGTGGATTAAAGTTTTTGTATATAATTTCGCTGTTTAATAATAAACGTAGTCAAAACCGGAGCACGTGGTTTTTCTGGAAAGTATTTTTAAAATTACAAGCAAAATCTCATGACTACTGTACTAATGATTGCCGAAAATTAACTAATTCATATTTTATGCCATATCTTTCTTAATAAGGACTGTCAGAACCATATTTACCTTAACTTGAAATTTTTTTAATCGTTTTTTGTATAGAATCATCTCTAAAAATGTATGATTGAAATATCGTGCGAACTATTTGTTCGATCAATAAAAAACTTGCACCGGTCCTGTTCGCGCCAGCACCATTATACGCATGAGCTCCGACACACTATTTTCTCCTTATGGTTTCATTTTTGATATATGGAATCGGCTTTCTATACTATTTCTATGATTGTGATCCAGTATCAATTAATACATTGTGGTCAACTTTTTATAACATGTAATATTCTATTACCAGAAAAATTATACTACATTTAGTAATGGAAAATTATGATTTTGAATATACCAAGTGTCTTGAATAACTTTTATTTAATTTAAATAATTTTAATTATATTGAATAATCACCAATGATTATTATTACACTACTTTTCATCTGTAAGTACATAATTATATATTTTTCAGCTCTTCCATACATCGAAGGGTACGTAGAAGGTGAAACGATACGACGGGGTCAAACGGTTGAATTAGTATGCAGGTGTAGAGGCGGCAATCCGCCAGCACAACTTATTTGGTACAAAAATGGGGAACAAATTCGTATGGCGTACAGGACAGCTGGAAGATTATCTGAAAATGTTTATACATTTACGGCAGATGCCAGCGATAACAAAGCCAAATACAAGTGCGAAGCTTCTAATGTGATGTCTAAGACGTCGTTGAAGGCAGAAGTTGAAATGAGGGTACTATGTAAGTTAATGTTTTTATTTTATATTTCTTTCAAACATCTTTGTATAATATTAGGAAAGTAATTTTGAAACAAAATGTTGGTATATTAAAAACTACTCATTTTATATGATAAGTTTAAAATAAAAATACAAAAAACCCTCAAATTTTTGAAAAAAAATGTATATGTACTTGCCCGCTCCGTATATTGCAGATGTCGGAATTTTGAAAAAAATATTGATACACTAAGAAATACTTACTTTATATGGCAAGTTTCTGATGCATAGGAAAATGACAAGATATTAGATTAGAAACATCAAAGATTTAAATCAAATTTTCTTAAAAAAAATTAGTTTTTTCCTAAAATTACTATATTAAATAAGTAATTTTTAGTATCCAAACATTTTTTTAAAAATCCCGACATTCGTAATGTCATACGGAACCAATAATCTTAAAATAAGTTAAGTTCTATTGTCATACTCTATATAGTATTATAGTAAAATAATTTTGCTTTTTTACATGATAATAACAATAAAATAGTTATCTTTTTTTTTTGAGAAAAACTAACTTCATTATTTTCTATGTCTATTAACAATTTAATGTGTTTTTTTCAACTTGAAAGCTCTAATCAACTTGTTCGGTCGGTTAGCCTTTTTAAATGCAGGAAAATGTGGAAAAGTGGTTTTCCACTTTTATTGCCTCGCGTTTACTTTGTAGACATGCAACAGCTTTAATTCAACTACATAATTTAGATTATTTCCCGCGATTACAGAAAGTTCCCGTGTCAAAAGAATAGATTTAAAACATTTTTTTAAATGTTTATTAGCGAATGTCTGTAATTATTATTTAATTTAAAATGTAGTATTGTAATGAGCTAAAAATTCATTCCTATTCAACTGGATCATCCCTTGTTCTTAAAATTCCCGCGATTTGCAAATAATCATCAATTTTATATTAAATCTTACGATGCTGTAAACCTATCGCGTCCCGACTACCGTGGCATTTGAAATCGACGCGAAAGCCAGCAGAACGTGAACCAGTCGAAAATCGTGGAGAGGCATTCCATTTTAGCTATTGGCCGCCAATAGTTGGTTTCAGACCATAGAAGACATTTCAGAAAACACTTTTTCTTCCAAAGAGGAAACATCAGTTTTTATAGAAGACTTTGGTTTCTAGTGAAGAAATTTTAGAAGAAGTATCAGTTTTCATAGAGAGAGGTCATATCGGAAGACATTTCGGTTTTTAAGAGATCTTGCTTTCCATATCGAAAAAAACTGAAGAAATTATAACAGAAAATAGATACATCTTCTAAACCTTCTTTAAGCTGCTCTGTCAATTCTACTTTCTTCTCTGTCGTTTCTCCAGATCACGATCCTTTATATCTTTTTTTTTTTAGTTTCACCAGCCCATGTTACGATTTCTGGCCCGACCGAAGCTCGAGTGGGCGATCCAGTACCTCTAACTTGCACCACAGCAAACTCAAACCCTCCAGCCGAAATAAAATGGATGGTAGCGGGAAGACAAGTTCGAAATGCCACATCCAGAACGGTCATTTCTCCTGAAGGTGGTTGGATTACGACTTCAAATATCACGGCTGTAGTTGAGCCTAATAGAAGAAGTCTAGTGGTTATTTGTCATGGTGTAAACATGCAGCTTACAGAGAATGTTGTTTCTACACATACTATCAACGTTTTATGTAAGTGGGATCATTTAATTGGGAACAAAAGTTACTATTATTTCAATTCCAGATCCTCCAAGTCAACCATTCATTCATGGCTTCACGGAGGGTTCTCACATTCCATCAGGAACTGTCCAAAAAATTTCTTGCACGTCTTCCGGTGGAAATCCTTTGGCTACTATTACTTGGTATAAGAATGACAAGAAGATTCATTCTACTGTCAGAACGACTGATAAATCTGTAACAGCAGAAATGACGATACTAACAAATGTAACTGACAACGAAGCTAGATATAGATGCGAAGCTGCCAATTCTGCAACTGAAATACCTTTATTTGAAACTATAACGATGAGCGTATATTGTGAGTATAGATTTAAAATTAATTTAAAAAATATGCAACGTAATTTTTTACTTTAGTTCTTCTATAATGTCCTTATAATTCCTCTATAATTCCGTTATAATTCCTTTATAATTTATATATAATTGTTTTATAATTGGATTATAATTCCTTTATAATTAGCTTGTAATTTCTTTATTTTTATTATAATTCCGTTATAATTCCTATATAATTCCTATATAGTTCCTATACAATTCTTTTATAATTCTTTTATAATTGGCTTATAATTGCCTTATAATTTAGTTAAATAATTTGTTTATAATAATTTCTTTAACATAATTTCTTTATACCAATTTCTTTATAATAATAATTTCTTTATATTAATTTCTTTTTATAATTTCTTTATATTAATTTCTTTATAATAATTTATTTTTATAGTAATTTCTTTATATTAATTTCTTTATAATAATTTATTTTTATACTAATTTCTTTTTATAATTTCTTTTTATAATTTATTTCTTTATATTTCACTTACTCCTTTATAATTTCTTTAAAATTCCTATATAATTTCTTTATAATTCCTTTATAATTCCTTTACAATTTTTTATAATTCCTTTATAATTTCTCTATTTCTTTACAATTTTTTTATAATTCCTTTATAATTTCTCTATAATTCCTTTATAATTCTTTTATATAACTCCTTTAAAATTGCCTTATAATTCCTTTATAAGTCCAATAAATTCTTTTATAATTGTCTTATAATTCCTTTATAATTGCCTTACAATTTCTTTATTATTTCTGTATTTCTTCATAATTTCTTTATATGAATTTTTTTATATAATTTCTTTATACCAATTTCTTTATAATAATTTTTTTATAATTTCTTTATATTAATTTCTTTATAATAATTTATTTTTATACTAATTTCTTTTTATAATTTCTTTTTATAATTTATTTCTTTATATTTCACTTACTCCTTTATAATTTCTTTATAATTCCTATATAATTTCTTTATAATTCCTTTATAATTTCTTTATAATTCCTTTACAATTTTTTATAATTCCTTTATAATTTCTCATTTCTTTACAATTTTTTTATAATTCCTTTATAATTTCTCTATAATTCCTTTATAATTCTTTTATATAACTCCTTTAAAATTGCCTTATAATTCCTTTATAAGTCCAATAAATTATTTTATAATTGTCTTATAATTCCTTTATAATTGCCTTACAATTTCTTTATTATTTCTGTATTTCTTTATAATTTCTTTATATGAATTTTTTTATATAATTTATTTTTATTAATTTCTTTATACCAATTTCTTTATAATAATTTTTTTATAATTTCTTTATATTAATTTCCTTATAATAATTTCTTTTTATAGTAATTTATTTATAATTCTTTTATAACTCCTTTAAAATTCCCTTTTAATTTCTTTATAATTCCTATATAATTCAATTCCTATATAATTCCTCTAAATTTTCCTTATAATTTCTTTATAATTCCTATATAATTATTTTATAATTACCTTATAATTCCTTTATATTTACATTATAATTTCTTTACGATATTTAACGTAATATTTTACTTTAGTTCCTCCCGACCATGTGAAAATCCACCAAGAACCTGAAGAATTAAAACCTAACGAAGAAGCGACGTTGATTTGCGACTCTAGCTCTAGTCATCCCCCAGCGACGCTATCTTGGTGGAGAGAGGGCATTCCTGTAGTTGGACTGAATAATACCACGAAACCTGGACTTCACGGTGGCACCATTTCCACCATCGAAATGAAAATAAATGTCACCGAACAAATGAACGGAATTGTCTATACTTGTCAAGCCAATAACGTCGTTTTGCAGAGATCGGTTCATGATGCTATCACACTTCAAGTACTATGTAAGTCTATAATTTTTTGACAAACTATCGGTTAGGTTAGAAAAAAATCAAAAATAAGAAACTTACAATTATTTATTCCAAAATATATCTCATACGGTTCCGTCTAATATTTTTTCACACTACTATATTCAATTCTCACTTTAGTTAAAAAAGGCGCGTTGGGCGCCAACTGTCATGTATTTTTCAATATATAATTTTTATATTATAATCAACTAAAGTTTATTATATTACAATATCTTCCGATCATTCTTATCCCTGCGCTTAGTAAAATTTTACCAAAAGAAGTTATAACCTTCATTGTTATCTGAGTTTCTATGCTGTACTACCAATGTCTCCTTTAAAACCTAATTCTAGTGGACTAACTACTTAGTTTCTAATCCCCACTCTCACCAAACTCTATTTTTATTACAGACAAACCGGTGTTTGATCCAAACAACGAAGACGCCGTGACCGGAATAGAAAACGAACCTCTAATCATATCCCTAAAAGCCGATGGGAATCCCCAAAATATTGTTTACACGTGGACCAAAGATGGATTACCAATAACGCAACAATCATCTTCGAACGGAGTAGAAAGAATTGTATCGGACGGATCGATTATGAATATCACGAGATTGAGTAGAAATGATGCTGGAACTTACACATGTGAAGCATTGAACTCCCAAGGAAGCAACGTTGCCATAGTAAATGTTACCGTACAGTGTAAGTGTTACTTTTTTATACTCCTTTATGAAACTAAATAAAAGTATATTAAATAGTGAATTATGACGACCATAATTTGTTTAATGTGTATTTTTATATAACAATGGTCAATTCCTAGTTCTTGATACAAAAGTACAGTAAAAAAAGCAATTTATTAAACTATTTAACAATTTATTTCCCGAGAAGCCTCTATAATACTATTTACTTCATGATTGCATCATAATAATAATATAAATAATACATAATATTCTTCATAATACATATTATATTTCATTTAAACTATTTTCTGTCATAATCTTTTTAATTTAAAAAAAGCAATTTATTAAACTATTTAACAATTTATTTCCCGAGAAGCCTCTATAATACTATTTACTTCATGATTGCATCATAATAATAATATAAATAATACATAATATTCTTCATAATACATATTATATTTCATTTAAACTATTTTCTGTCATAATCTTTTTAATTCTTTTTTTATTTTCCAATAACCTTTTCTTAACCATACATTCCTTCTTTAATATTATATTTCTTCTTCATTTAAATACGTAGATCATTTTTTTAATATCTATAAATGGTGTCTAATATTTATTTTTAAATTTTGTTTCCTACCTTTCTTAAATAATCACCATTCCTTGTGTCTTCAGTTATCCTGTTTTCTAATTTCCTTTTTCTTTCTAGATTTCTTTTTTAATTCTTCATTTTTTTTTATTTTGTTTACTTATACATTTTCAATTTCTATTTATCTCTCTTCTATTTTTTTGCTCAAATCTTGTTTTTCAATTTTTTGTTCGAATATTTCTTCTTTATTTAATCTTTCAAAAGTTTTTCTTCTAATATTTCTTCTAAATATTTAAGATCTATACTTCTGTCAGTCATTTCCATTTTTAATTCTTCTTTATTTCTTCCACTGCTACTTCCAATTTCTTTTCTACATTTTCATGTTATTTAATATTTTTCTCCATTCCTCTATTTCCTTTATCTCCTCCCTATCTTCTATTTTCATCCATTTTTTGTCCATTCCATCCATTTTCTGGTTTATTGTTTCATTGTTTTTTTTTTTTTTTTCATTTTCTTCACCATCTTCATCTTCTTTTTTGCTGATTTTTCACTATCTTACCGAATCAATCAAAGTATCTTTGACTATTTGTACATCGATAACATTATTAACTGAGCTCATTTTCATTTTTTTATATATATTTTTTTACCATTACGAAATGTACTTTTTTCCGCAGATCCCGCTTCAATAATACAAACCAGCGGAAACGTAATAGCCAATCCGAAAGAAGACGCGACTCTTTCTTGTACCGCCGATGGCAATCCTTTAGCCGACGATACAATAACTTGGAAGAGAGACGATTTTCCAGAGTTCGCCGCCCGAACGTCGGTAATGTACGACAAAAACGGCACTTCCTACCTTAGGATATCGGGAGTAACGAGAGAGGATCTCGGAAACTTCGCGTGCGTCGTAAATAATGGCGTCGGAAATTCTACGTTCAAAGAAGTCATGCTCATTGTTAAACGTAAGTGATTTGGTTTAGAATGAGATTTAATATAATGGACGTTTGGAGACGTAGTTGGGACGTAATTTTATCTCGAAATGTCCAGGACTAATACTAGAAAATGTTTTCTTAAAAATATTCCGAATAAAAAAGGAGTGAGCTACAAAAAAATAGGTTTAAAGTAGGCATTTTTTTTCTTTTTAAATATCAGTTCAGATTTAATTCAATTTATCAGAAAGATATTATAAAATAAATATAACTTGTGCGCCATAATCCAATACAGCACTTATTATATAATTATTATTATCATCTTTTTTAACGTATAATATCGAGCAGAAAATATACAAGAATGGTATATAAAGTTAGATAGATATATATCATTCAACTGGAGTATTATGCGTCTATAAAAAATATATTAAATTTTTTGTTTCTCTTTAGATAAACCGGAAATAGATGGACAACCTCTATTTTTGAAATTTGCAAGTGACGCGGGTGACACTGGAAAGTTAATTTGCCGCAGTCAGGCATCGCCGTTAGCTAGATACACTTGGGCTAGAAACGGTGCGCCAATAAATTCAAATACCAGTGGAAAATACTACAGCACGTATCGCCAGGTTAGCAATATTTTTTACTTTTACCTTTTTTTATAATCTTTACTTTTTTTGTACTTTCTTTCACCTTTATTATTTAATATCTGTTATACTTTCCGAAATATACAGGGTGTTTCCAAAAGGTATGTTATAAATTCTTCCTTAGATAGATTACCAAAAAATAAGTCGATTTGGCTATATTTAGTTATATTAAAAACTATCATTCAGAAAAATGTTTTTTTTTATAAAGTTTGCTGTTGCGATTTTTCATGTAAGTTTCTTTTGTCTTTTATTTATTCATTCAATTATATTTGAATCATTCCGTTTCCCGTCAACAACTAATTATTGAACGAAGCCCGTTTCCTATCATAATTAATTCACACATCGTTTTGATCGGCTTTGGCAAATCTTAAAATATTTTTTTCTATTTTTACTTTTTGTTTTACTTTTTGTTTTACTTTTTCTTTTTTGAATAATTTTCACTCTTTTAATTATTTCTTTTACATTTTTTGCTTTTTTTTATTCCTTCATTTATTGATGCTTTCTTTCATCCTTTAGATCGATCAACTCGTTTCCGAATCAACATTATACATCACCCACGTAACATCCGCCGATTATGGAAGCTACGAATGTGTAGCTAGAAACGAACTAGGCTTCGCAACGAAATCTCCCCGTTTAGAGGTAACCTCAGCTCCAGATACACCGACGTTACTGACAGTTCTAAACGTAACCCACGATTCGGTTACGTTAGGTTGGACTCCCGGTTTCGACGGCGGCATGAGAGCATCGTATAGAATTCGGTACAGAAAAGTTGACGACGAAGGATATAAATACGAAGACGTCGTTGGAAGCAACGTTACTAATCACGTCGTTAAAAATTTGGATATTAATACTCAGTATATTTTTTCTATTATGGCGTCGAATAAGTTAGGGAATAGCAAGTTTATGCCTGATTTGCTGTCGGCGAAAACTTCAGGTGAGTTGTTTTAAAGGTTTCTTCCTAATTTTAGTAACTGTACTAACATAATTTTGTAAAATTTCATGCTTACTAACGTAAACTAACAGATGAAGTCCCGCCATCCTATACCTCATCCAGTCTCGATGAAAGGAACATCAAAAATTTCCCAGGATTCCTCATAATCCTCGGAACAATCGTCGGTGTTCTACTAATATTAATGAACATCCTGCTGATCGGTTGTTGCTTGCATAGGAGATCGAAAAAACGATTAACAGGTAATTAACGATTTTTTTTATTCTTTATAGTGTTCGTTGGAGATGGCGTCGAAAAAGTCATTCCCGACGATCTTTTGGAAAAGCAAGACTTACCCAGGATAGTGATCATTAGCGTTTCCGTGATAGGCGTTATTCTTTTGTTTATAAACATTGCCTTAGTTACCGGATGCATGTTGAAACGAAGAGCTAAACGAATGAGAGGTGTGTTTTTGTTTTTATTTATTTTATTATATTTTTATATTTTCTTTTTTTAAATTGTTGATTTCTACCCATTTTTTCTAAAAAAATTATAATATTCGTATTTATCAACTACTTTAAATATTAAAACTGCTTTTTATTCTATAACCTTCAAAATAACTTAAAATAAAATTATTGACGCCATTTTTATTTTTTACCACAAAAGGAATTTTGCATATTTAATCCTATTTCTATATAAGAATCGAATTCAAACTTGGCGGCAGAAAATTTCATCAGCATCGTCTACAGAAATGTTCTAAATTCATGTACACTAAGAAAACAGTTTCAATTAAAAAATTATCTGAAAATTAATATCTGAAACAGTTAGAAAATGATTTTAATGCTAAAAAATTTAAATTTGACGATAAATATATATAATTATTCGAAGGTATTTACTGCGTACCACAAATTTACTTTTTAATTTAAAATGTTTAGAGTTATATTTAACAATTAATTGATTTTTATATTTTCAGTCAATTTTTTTCTATAAAAATTATTTTAAAACTGATTTTTACGTTATATTTTCATATTTTTACAATTCGTGAATATGAAAATATTTCTCTTCCAAATACGATCCTTCAAAAGATAATTGTATTTTTGGATCATTTACTTGAAAAAATCCTAATTTTATAATTAAAAACCATTTATTTTCAGAGCAAAATAATCAGACGAGTAAGTCGGCAACAATAGAAATGTACGCCCCTAGTAGCTACAATGACACAGTTACTGGAGAAACCCTTTCATCAGTTAGCGAAAAGAGTGAAACTTATAGCAATGAAGAAGGGAACAATGAATATATGGTTAGTAAATATATTTACCATTTACCAATAATTGAAAATAATTGAAAATAATAATTGAAAATAATAATTGAGAATAATAATTGAAAATAATAATTGAAAATAATAATTGAAAATAATAATTGAAAATAATAATTGAAAATAATAATTGAAAATAATAATTGAAAATAATTGAAAATAATTGAAAATAATTGAAAATAATTGAAAATAATTGAAAATAATTGAAAATAATTGAAAATAATTGAAAATAATTGAAAATAATTGAAAATAATAATTCAAAATAATAATTGAAAATAATAATTGAGAATAATAATTGAAAATAATTGAAAATAATTGAAATTAATTGAAAATAATTGAAATTAATTGAAAATAATTGAAAATAATTGAAAATAATTGAAAATAATTGAAAATAATTGAAAATAATTGAAAATAATTGAAAATAATTGAAAATAATTGAAAATAATTGAAAATAATTGAAAATAATTGAAATTAATTGAAAATAATAATTGAAAATAATAATTGAAAATAATAATTGAGAATAATAATTGAAAATAATAATTGAAAATAATAATTGAAAATAATAATTGAAAATAATAATTGAAAATAATAATTGAAAATAATTGAAAATAATTGAAAATAATTGAAAATAATTGAAAATAATTGAAAATAATAATTGAGAATAATAATTGAAAATAATTGAAATTAATTGAAAATAATTGAAAATAATTGAAAATAATTGAAAATAATTGAAAATAATAATTGAAAATAATAATTGAAAATAATAATTGAAAATAATAATTGAAAATAATAATTGAAAATAATTGAAAATAATTGAAAATAATTGAAAATAATTGAAAATAATTGAAAATAATTGAAAATAATTGAAAATAATTGAAAATAATTAAAAATAATTGAAAATAATTGAAAATAATTGAAAATAATTGAAAATAATTGAAAATAATAATTGAAAATAATAATTCAAAATAATAATTGAAAATAATAATTGAGAATAATAATTGAAAATAATTGAAATTAATTGAAAATAATTGAAATTAATTGAAAATAATTGAAAATAATTGAAAATAATTGAAAATAATTGAAAATAATTGAAAATAATAATTGAAAATAATAATTCAAAATAATAATTGAAAATAATAATTGAAAATAATAATTGAGAATAATAATTGAAAATAATTGAAATTAATTGAAAATAATTGAAAATAATTGAAATTAATTGAAAATAATTGAAAATAATTGAAAATAATTGAAAATAATTGAAAATAATTGAAAATAATTGAAAATAATTGAAAATAATTGAAAATAATTGAAAATAATTGAAAATAATTGAAAATAATTGAAATTAATTGAAAATAATAATTGAAAATAATAATTGAAAATAATAATTGAGAATAATAATTGAAAATAATAATTGAAAATAATAATTGAAAATAATAATTGAAAATAATTGAAAATAATTGAAAATAATTGAAAATAATTGAAAATAATTAAAAATAATTGAAAATAATTGAAAATAATAATTGAAAATAATTGAAAATAATTGAAAATAATTAAAAATAATTGAAAATAATAATTGAAAATAATTGAAAATAATAATTGAGAATATTAATTGAGAATAATAATTGAAAATAATTGAAATTAATTGAAAATAATTGAAAATAATTGAAAATAATTGAAAATAATTGAAAATAATTGAAAATAATTGAAAATAATTGAAATTAATTGAAAATAATAATTGAAAATAATAATTGAAAATAATAATTGAAAATAATAATTGAGAATAATAATTGAAAATAATAATTGAAAATAATAATTGAAAATAATAATTGAAAATAATAATTGAAAATAATAATTGAAAATAATAATTGAAAATAATTGAAAATAATTGAAAATAATTGAAAATAATTGAAAATAATTGAAAATAATTGAAAATAATTGAAAATAATTGAAAATAATTGAAAATAATTGAAAATAATTGAAAATAATTAAAAATAATTAAAAATAATTGAAAATAATTGAAAATAATTGAAAATAATAATTGAAAATAATAATTCAAAATAATAATTGAAAATAATAATTGAAAATAATAATTGAAAATAATAATTGAAAATAATAATTGAAAATAATAATTGAAAATAATAATTGAGAATAATAATTGAGAATAATAATTGAAAATAATTGAAATTAATTGAAAATAATTGAAAATAATTGAAAATAATTGAAAATAATTGAAAATAATTGAAAATAATTGAAATTAATTGAAAATAATAATTGAAAATAATAATTGAAAATAATAATTGAAAATAATAATTGAAAATAATAATTGAGAATAATAATTGAAAATAATAATTGAAAATAATAATTGAAAATAATAATTGAAAATAATTGAAAATAATTGAAATTAATTGAAAATAATTAAAAATAATCGAAAATAGTCCAAAATAATCAATAATCGAAAGCAATCGATTAAGTGGTTATGGATTATTTAAAAAATGGATTGTTTATGCCGTTTTTTTATTATTTATTGTTATATTTTGTATTTATTCTTATATTTTATATTTATTTTTTAGGACGATAACAGGAAACCCACAAGTAACTCGTACTTAATCGAACACCAACCTGATTATCCAGGTGCGTATCCGACGTACGAAATGCAAATGCCTGCCCAAACCGGTATTAATATGGCCCACAAGACCCACACCTTGCCCCATCCCCATCATCACCACCATCACCTGGCTCACGATCAGAGACCGAGGGCCAGAGATGACCAAAGTCTCGGCTACCATGGTGGCATGTCAGGTAACTAACACACTAACCATTTAATTTAAAAAAAATCTATATTTATATGAATATTATTGCTAAATTATGAAAAGTACAGTGTGTCCACTTAAGTTGGAACCATATGAAAAAAAAAATTATTGATTTTAGGAAAAAAAGTTATTCTTGATAAAAAGTCCTGCATGACCTAAAACTTAAAATACAGTCATCAGATATCAAATTTTTCAAGCCGTATACGAGGTTTGTCAAAAAATATGAATTTTGCTCAAGAGCAAAATAGGTTTATTTCTGACAAAATCGAAAATTTTCATTAAGAAAATGGCTAAATTCTTCACGAACATCAAGAAAAGGAAAGCGTATCATGTTTATAGTAAAGAAGAGAGAGAAAAAATTATGGATTACTGTAATTAGGTGTGGATCAATGCAAAATCTAGAAAGAAAATCTGATTTAATTGCATATTTGAATGTAATTTTCAATTTTAATCATTTTTTCTTGATGAAAATTTTCGATTTTGTCTAATGGCTATATTTCGAAAACGGTAAGTCGTAGAAGAATAATTTAAACGGAATTTCGTAGAGGGCGCTTTATAGTATAAAACTGGTTAAAAATAATTCATGTAAACAATTTGGAAATATGAGAAAAAAGTAAAAAAAAAAAAAAATAATGAAGATCGTCTCAATCGATCCGAAATGTTTATATCTTTCCTACCTTAACGATATATAATGCGTCTAAATAATGACCACATACCAAGTTATTGAATAAAATGTGTTGGTACTTTTAAAATGAAAAAATTGATATAACTTTCACATGTAATGTTGTGTTATTCACTTTTTGCCAGTTTTAAACCATTTTTATTTTTCTTAATTTTTTAATTATTGTTTCTTATTTTTATTTTTTCTTTTCTCCATTTTTTTATTATACTTTTAAAACGATTTTTTGGCTTTTTTTTCCAATGTTTTTTTAGAATAAAAACGTTACACCTTTTACAAATTTTTATTATTTTTTCTTAATTCTTTTTATTACATTTTAAAATTATTTTTACCTTTTCTAAAACTTTATTTCTTAATTTTTTTCACAGTATGTACAGGGCATTGATTTATTCACGATTTTCATACATAAATACCAATTTTTTTTTAGAGTAGTACCCTATAGAATCTAAATATGTATCAGTAGAATGGAAAAAATGAGAGTCTGAATCTAAAATAATAAACTGGTTGGTATTCTGGTTTAAAAATACATATGTTTGGTTCTCCACTTTCCTTACTTTCCCCCTTTCTTAACTACTAACATGAAACAAAAACGAGATGCTGCTCGGCTAAAAACATTGGTGTGAAATTTTCTTTCAAATATACTTTAATATTAATCCAATTTTTTTGTTTTTTAGGAAAATCGTCCTATGTTAGCGCCCCCTCACCGGCGCCACCAGCAGACGGTTCGTACTACAACATGTCCGATAGATACTTATCATACCCCCCGCCACTAGACTTCCAGAACCCGCCACCAATTCCAGCCCATCCGCATTTGACGCACATGCATACCCCGATTACTCCTCCTCTACCAGCCAATGGTTCTCTTGTGCGTCATCCAAGAGCGGTCCCTCCGCCTGACGTCCTGCACAACACCAGCCAGAACAGTCAAATCCTTCAAGCTCAAAGTCTGTCTCAAAAACGGGAACTGACCAGTTTCGGTAACGGTTACGGCGTTAACGAACAGGAGGGACATCTCGTTTGAGATCAGGGGGAAATTTTGTACGTTTTGTAAAGTTCGTTTTTTATTCCGAGTGTGTTTTGTCCAATACTTACGATTTAAATGTAAATTATGAGAAAAGACTGGTGTGCGTGTACATATAGGTAAAAAGAAAATAATTCTAGTAATACTCAATACATGTGATTTTGAAAATTGATATCATTGCAATAGTCTGTAATAAAATTATTGTAAAAGGTGCATCGGAAAAGGAATTCAGTGTTATTCGCTGGTTACTCAATAGTTTTGGGTTTCAGTTTTAAGTATCTAATGAGTTTATTTACTACACTGCGCGTTTTTCAGGTTTAAAAAATTTGCGAAAAGAGTATTGACCATTTTTTTGTCACAGACATCTCCTGTTTTCTTAGTTAATGGTACAAGACAAAAAACATTGTTCAAATTGAAATTTATTTGAATATGATGAAGATTCATTTAAACCGAACTCTGCTAGACTTGTTTTAACTTTTGACAAATTTAACTTTTCAAAAATAAAAATAGATTGTGAGCCACAATCAAATAAAGCACGAACATTACAATGTTTAATAGTTTTGGTAAAAAAATCACTTTATTGTAGGAAAATTTCAAAATTTTGCTATACAATTCGGTAGATAGATTTTAAAAATACATTTTCTTTGAATTTTTTTATAAATTTCTGAAAAACCGCGAAAATTTTACGGTTTTTTTGATTCATTCTCATAATTTATTCAAAGAATCAACGTCTTGCTTTGTTTCAGGTAAACACCCTGTGATATTATCTATTATGAAGCAAGATATTTGAATTGACGTTTGAATAAGATGGTTGAATTTGACATTTGAATTTACTGACATTTGAATTTCTTGATATTTAAATTTCTTGACATTTAAATTTCTTGACATTTGAATTTGACTTTGACGGTTGAATTTAAATATGTTGACAGTTAAATTTTAAGCTTAAATTTGAATTTGAAGTTGAATTTTATTTTGAATTTGAAGGTTGAATTTTAAATTTGATTTTAACGTTTGAATTTGATACTTAAATTTGACGTTAGAATTTGACATTTGAATATGACGTTTTAGTTTGATATTTGAAATTTTAATTGGTCATATTAATTGGATATTCGAATTTAACGTTTGAATTTGACGTTTAAATTTGACGTTAGAATTTGACGGTGAATTTGACGTTTAAATATGACATTTGAATTTGTTTATATTTGAATTCTTTACATTTGAATTTGTTGACATTTGAATTTATTGACGTTTTAATTTGTCTTTTGAATTTGTTGACATCTACATTAATAAACATTGAATGTTGACAATTTAATTTGAATTTAATGTTTGAATGTGACGTTAGAATTTGAAGCTTGAATTTCACATTTAAATTTAACAGTTGAATTTGACATTTGAGATTTTTTTTTTTGAATTTGTTAACATTTGAATTTGAGTTTGACTTTGAATTTAATGTTTGAATCTGACGTTAGAATTTGACGCTTGAATTTCACCTTTGAATTTAACGATTGAATATGACATTTGAGTTTGCCGTTTAAATTTGTTGATATTTGAATTTTTTAACATTTAAATTTATTGACGTTTTAATTTGTCTTTAGAATTTGTTGACATTTACGTTTATAAAATTTGAATGTTGACATTTGAGTTTGACTTTGAATTTGACTTTTAGATTAAATGTTTGAATTTGACATTTGAATTTGACGTTTTAATTTGACATTTTAATTTAATGTTAGAATTTGACGCTTGAATTTGATGGTTAAATGTGACATTTGAATTTGGTAACTTTTGAATTTGTTGAGATTTCGTTGATATCTTTTTAAAAATTAAAAATTATTAGTTGAATTTGTTGAATTTTGTATCTATTGACATTTCAGTTCGTTAACATTTGCATTTATAGCCATTTGAATTTGACGTTTGAGTTTGACATTTGAATTTGTTGACTTTTGAACTGGTTGACATTTGAACTGGTTGACATTTGAATTTGGTATTTAAATTTGACTGTGAATTTGACATTTGAACTAGACATTTGAACTATACCTTTGGATTGGTTGATTTTTAAATACAATAACTTTTGAATTTGTTGAAATTGAATTCGTTGACATTTGCATTTATGGCCATTTGAATTTGACGTTTGAGTTTGACATTTGAATTGGGTGACTTTGAATTTGTTGACATTTAAATTTGTTGACTTTTGAACTGGTTGACATTTGAATTTGGTATTTAAATTTGACTGTGAATTTGACATTTGAACTAGACCTTTGGATTGGTTGATTTTTAAATACAATAACTTTTGAATTTGTTGAAACTGAATTTGTTGACCTTTGTATCTGTTGACATTTGCATTTGTGGCCATTTGAATTTGACGTTTGAGTTTGACATTTGAATTGGGTGACTTTGAATTTGTTGACATTTAAATTTGTTGACTTTTGAACTGGTTGACATTTGAATTTGGCATTTAAGTTTGACCGTGAATTTGACATTTAAACTAAACCTTTGGATTGGTTGACTTTTGAATACAATGACTTTTGAATTTGTTGAAACTGAATTTGTTGACCTTTGTATCTGTTGACATTTGCATTTGTGGCCATTTGAATTTGACGTTTGAGTTTGACATTTGAATTGGGTGACTTTGAATTTGTTGACATTTAAATTTGTTGACTTTTGAACTGGTTGACATTTGAATTTGGCATTTAAGTTTGACCGTGAATTTGACATTTAAACTAAACCTTTGGATTGGTTGACTTTTGAATACAATGACTTTTGAATTTGTTGAAACTGAATTTGTTGACATTTGCATTTGTGGCCATTTGAATTGGCCGTTTGAGTTTGACATTTGAATTTCTTGACTTTGAATTTTTTGATATTTGAATTTCTTGACATTTGAATTTGAAACTCAAATTTGACATGTGAATTTTAATTTTATTTGTTATATAATCTGTGACACTAACACATATTACCACAGTTAACCCTCATTTGGTGTTAGATATACAATTTTGTTTACGAATTTGCTGAATATTTTTTCGATGCACAACCTTATTAATTTGACTTGCGTAATTTGCCTGATAAACTGATTCGTTCAGGGTCAAATTTTTCTCAAAGGAAAATAGACTGATGTTGTAGTTAATAGTGAAACCTTGATTTTTATTCGTATAATAACTAATTCGTTAAAATATTAATCAAAACTAATAACAATAACGATTATATCAAAAAGCTAAAAAATCAAGAACGACGAAATTAATTAAATCCTTTGAGCAAAAACGCCTGTTTTTCAGTAACGCTGAAAACTTTTTTGCTAACTGATAATCAGTTGTAGATAATTTCTAACTAATGTGATCTGAATATGTACAGTATGTCTTTCCTGTTTGATAATGTCCTCTAATAAAAAAATATGAAAGGGGTAAATAAAAACCCTGTTGCCGTTTTTTTTTTTTTTTGAATAATTATTAAATTAGACATGCTGTATTAGTTATTTAATTTGATAACGTAGGTTATGTTTTATTTTTTACTCATTTTGTGAATAATTTTGGTTATTTTTTAAAAAAAAACTGATGTAAATAGTTAGGTTTTTATTTAATCAAAAAATAATTTACTAGTCCAAGTGATCAACCAAAGTGTTTTTAATTTTTTTATATATTTCCTTATTTGAGAAATATAAACGTTCTCTTTGTACATTTTTTTTTTTTTTCTATAAGTTTTTTTGTATTTAGCGGAATTTTTTATTTCTTTCACTTTCACCTTTTAACCTTTGTTAATTCTTGTATATTTTTTTATTATGTGAATTATGTCTAATTTTATTTTTAATATTTAAGAATAAATAGTTATGTTTCTTTATTTTTCGTTTTTATTTTTTTTTTAATCCTAGGGAATACCTGTGAAAAATAGTAAGAAAGGGTTTTCATTTAAAAATTTAAGTTTGTGGTAAAATGATATGCATTTTTGTTATTTAAAATTGTCATTTAAAACGTATATTCACTTTGTTTAATTACATAATTAACGGAAAAGTTTCAGTAATAAAGTTTATCTAAAAAAAAAAAAAAAAGTAAAATAAATAGACAAAATATCAAACTAATACTAAATCAGTAAGTAACACTTCAATTCTTTCATTGAGATTGGTATTGTGTACTTTTTCCATGCGTTCTAATTTTCATTACTTCAAAATAATCGAGTAACCGAAAATAATCGATTAATAGAAATGATCGATTTTTGATTAATCGTAATATATTAACCGAAAAGCGATTAATCAAAATAACACATTGAATAATCGAATTAATAGAATAATCTAAAATATCCAATTAATTGAAATTAATCCATTAACTGGAAATAATCAAACAATTTAAAATCGGTTAATTCCCGATAATCGATCAATAAAAAATAATCAATTATCAATTAAAAAAAAAAAATCGACTAAGCGAATAATAATCGTTCATGTTGCGGAATCTCGCTCTGCTCATTTCGAAAATATTCGCTCGTTACATAAAATAATGCATTTCGTAAGGAGTTTATACTGTAACTATTGTTTAAAAATAGTTTATTTATTTAAAACATTTTATTTATAATTTATTTATACTTAAGCACTAATTTATTTAACACATGACTTTTACTTAATCGATGTTCTCACAGCTATGACTCGACGTCAACTGACTGATTTCCTGTGCAAATTAGTCCGTTTGTATATAAATTGGTGTACGAGCTAAATTATTCTCTTTCTCATTATTTAATAGAGAAGCGTCTCTTAATATTTCTATAAATAGAAATCTAGGAGCGCTATCAAACCATTTTTTTTAATTTTCTTCACATTTCTTCTAGATTTCTCTAGCATTTTTTTCGGCAATTTAAACCGACACAAATTTTACACTAAATTTTCGATTTATTAATTTTAAATTTCTAAAAATACTGGGTTTTATAGTCTATTTTTATGTATGAGAGAGTAATAAATCATCATTTCTAATGCAAAACTTAGTACGGTCATTTTAAATATTTTTACAGAATAAATATTTCCTAAAATTGTAATAAATGTACCTGAGCTATTACAAGTTTTGGGTCTTTTATTGGTCCTTTATAAACATAAGCTGTACAGAACAATAGAAAAATGGTTGGACAGGCCAAAAGCCCTGTGTATTAAAGATTACATAGCCGTATCTTAAGATTATTTTCAATAAGTACCTATTTGCCAATTTTGTTTTATTTTAATTCCAAGAATTTTTTACAGTAATCAAATTATAAGTAGATAAATACCTTCCCAACAAATTTCACCGAAAATGCGATTATAGGTTTTCCATTTAGTAAGGAGGTCAAAGTTGTGTATTCTTGACAGTTTACTAAATGTCGTTTAGTTGCAACTTGCAAGGTGCAGTGTGACTTCTAGTGTGATCATGAAAAATTTGGAAGGGCCGCGTAAACGACAAAAAATCGGTCCTTTAACAGTTAATGAAAAAACATTAATATTTAATTGTTTTAAATCATTTACAGACAAAAATTTATGTAAAAGTGTTGATGACACAGTGGAATTAGTTAGTAGTACGCTTGGTGTTGGGAAATCTACGATTTACAGAGTTGTTAAAGAAGAGAAATGTGGCGAGTTTCAAACAGCACGTAAAGCTCCAGGAAAACCAAAATTTCAATTAGAAAATCTTTTGAAAGAAAGACTTCGAAGGAAAGTGCATGCGTTCTTCTTTAGAAAAGAATTTCTGACAGTAGACTAAGTTCTTGCCACGGTTTGAGATGATAAGGATTACCCTGAAATGAGTACACTATGAAAACTTTTAAAAGAAATAGGTTTTCTATGGAAAAAGCATTCCAGAAAGTCTATTTTAATAGAAAGAAGCGATATTGTAGTACAGAGAAGAAATTACCTAAGGACTATAAAAGAAATGAGAAACCAAAGAAGAAATATATTTTATTTAGATAAAACATGGATCAACGAGGGACAT